GGGCTGTGGATGAGCTTAAATACTACCTGGCCGGGCAGCCCTTCACTCTGGTAACTGAACATGCCCCTCTTCAATGGATGGCTAAGGTCAAAGATAATAACACCAGAGTGATGCGGTGGTCTCCCTCCAAGGCTACAACTTCACAGTGCAACATCGGGCGGGGGCTCAGCACAGTGCTCTCCCTGCGCTACTCACTCTGGGCCCATCGCATGCCGGCTGTAGGCTCGAAGCTGAGGGGAGGGGCACTGTGATGGCAGGCCTGCGGCCCGCGCACATAATTCTTCCATCGCTCCTCACACAACTGCCGGCAGAGTGCTGAAAGGACAGTGCCGCTTCAGCACCCCCATTGTTTAGGACAGCCAGAGTGCACATGGCCGCAAGGCGGAGCAGCCTAATGCACTGTGTCTGGCAGCCAATAAGAGCAGTGGCCAAAATCTACCCTCACAGAGAAGACTGAAGGATACACGGCCGCGGCCGCTCTCCAAATCAGATAGGTGAGGCTTACAAGCCCACTAACGGTGTTCTCTTCTCTTCCCACAGAAGGAGATGTAAGCAGAGAAGATGAGCCTCACCCTCTGCAAGACAACCACCCCATTCTTTGAGAGCACCTGCCATGCATCCTCTGTCCTGCCACTGCGCCGCTGCTGCTTGCTCGCCGCGCTCCACGCCGGGACAACCTCTCACTGCCACCTACATGCCAGATTTCATCATTCCCTTCTTCACTTTCCCCCAACCTCAACTTCAAAAATAATAATAATTTCTGCCTCTGGGTGCTGGCCTGCGATCTCACATGTCACAATCTATATATATATATATATATATATATATATATATATATATATATATATATATATATATTATGAGACTTAGCTTCTTAGCTTAAAATTACTAATTCTTGACTTATAACCTAAATATGCAGTCTCCCCCTTATATGATCCTGTCAAATGCTGGGGCGATGCACTGCAATTTATGATGCACTACAAAAAAGCCATTCATATACTGATAAAAAGTCCAATAATCATCCATTCCAGTGGAGGCCACACCACTCAGCTGTACTTGGACTAGTAGCTAAATCAATAGCAGAAGGGCGGAAAGAACAGGAGAATGCCTCCACCATTCATGCTCTGTGTGAGCCAAGGCCCTGCCATCACAATCACTGCACATCTGTCACCACTGAATGCAAAAAGATGCTTTCATTAATTCCCCCTCTCAGTAATACCCTTAATTAAATCATATTGACTATTTCTCTATTATGCTAATGTGCCATATTGAAAAAGTAATTCTTTTAAGCAGCATTCTGAGTGTCTGTTTTTTCTGATTTATATTTTCTGATGGTATAAGAGGGTGTGGTGTCTTTAAACTGGTCAACTGAAAAGAATCATCATTTTTATGGGAATTGGATAGGAGACAAAATAAAGAGAGTGGTAAATGGGTAATAGTCTTTTTTTCATAAACGTAAAATCATATACAACAAAGTAGGGTCTCCACAGCCTGTGTTCAATCAGATTGTGTCTGGAAAAAGACAAGCTAAAAATAATTCAGTTCAGCATTGGTCATAATGCATCATTTAACAAATGGCCAAGGTGCTTTGCTTTTTTTTTTTTGGATGCCATTTAGAAATACATTAAATGACTAATTTTTTGCATGCTCCAGATAGATAATTTAGTCAAATATAGTGAGTCAAGCAGTAGTCTTGCTGAACATAAAGCACTTTAAGGCATTGGATAACTCAACTTGTTCACCTTCTGTAACACAATCCAGATCAGAGTCCTGGTTCCTGGATCTGCACCCTAACCTGGGAACACTGCTTGTCTGTGTAGGTATGTATGCACAGATTTGTTTTCAGTGTCTTCTTTTTCTTGTGGTTTTGTGCAATGTGCAATAATATTTGGCTGCTGGATGCCATGTCAAATATTTTTGCTAATTGCACTTGAGTGTTGAAGTGATGGATAAACTGGACAAATAAGTAGAATAAAAGAGAAAAGGGTGAATGGGATATATTTATCATATTTTTTTAGTTGGCCATGCATTCATGGCCAGAAGAAATAAAATACATTTTTGACAGAGTCTGTGACTCTAGAGCAGCGCAACATGGGCTTTGTCGTACCCCGGTGGCTTCCTCTAATGTACCTGTCATGCCCTTGATATATGGCTGCATGTATATTTTAAGGTTCACCTGGCATGCTTGTCACCTGCAGTCTGTTTGTGGCATAATGATTGATCAGCACAGCTTTCTGGGTTTTTTTCTCAGATGTAAAAAAGAAGCCTGAGAGGAGAATCTACCAGATTTGCACAGAGATGACTCAGTATGGCTGCTTGTCTAAACAAGGGTGCACAAGTCACATTTCTGTCGTATTTATAGATTTTTCAGACATTTCCCTAAATTAAATTTTTGTGCCATTCTTATATCACACTAGCTCATAGCTACTGGGCACTTGAGACACAGACAGACAACGCTGAATATATTTCTTTTCTGTTTTTTTTTGTTCTGTTCAGCTTTTTTCTATGGATATGTCAGTTACTCAGCACTGGGCTCCTGCTGAGGAGGTGTCTGGGTAATGATCACCCAGGGCTAACTGTTAATGCAGAGCAGATTGCCACCATATTGAAGGCAGCACAAAGACCGTAGTTTAATTATCCTATGAATATTTGTTTCCTGCAGATTTGCATCCTCTCCATGTTGAGTTCATGTGCTTTTCAACAGTGCAACTCACAAAGTTTTAAGGACACACACACACACATACATTTGTCTTGAAATGACCTACAGTCAGGTCCATAAATATTGGGACATTGACACAATTCTAACATTTTTGGCTCTATACACCACCACAATGGATTTCAAATGAAACGAACAAGATGTGCTTTAACTGCAGACTGTCAGCTTTAATTTGAGGGTATTTACATCCAAATCAGGTGAACGGTGTAGGAATTACAACAGTTTGCATATGTGCCTCCCACTTG